CATTGGATTCCATAGTATCCACCAAAGGCTGAGACTTCACATCTTCAACAATAGATTTCTGAATGTATGTCTTTATGCAAGTTAACAGCTCGTTCTGAGAAGTGTTTGATGTGTAGGTTGCTACTTTTGAACACGTTTCAAAATGTTGTTCTAGGGTTGTATCGCCCGCTTCTATTCTAAATTGTATAAGTTCTTCGAAATTACCCTTGTTCTTACTATTGCCTGCATCATCATCCCGATGTCCCCGATGCGCCATTCCACGCCCACCACAGATCTCTAAACACTTAAGCATAGATCTGATGATATCGCGGTTCTTAGCGATGATTGCGGCATTATTCGATTGCAGATTGACGTCGATTCTGAGCGACTGATTGACACACGATTTCTTAAATCCGTTCAATCTAACCACCGAGTCAGCGTGATAACCAGTCTGTGCATGCTTTTTCAAATCCATAGTGGCGTCTTTCCATTTATTGAATGGTTCTGTAACCAACAATCTTGGTCGGCGACCGGATGTGTTCGGAAAAAAACTTACAAGCAAGGCAATATAACCCATCTTTCGACTTTGAATAAGCTATGAATGGGAATTGCTCAAACCAATCGCGACAACCAGATCTTTTAAAAGTACCGCTTTTGCATCTTTTATCTTTATATAATTTAAACAGAAATTTAAAGCCCGGTTCCGGACACCGATTAGACAAAATCCTGAATTTTACATCATCCGATAGGGTATGTTCATCGATGACTCCAATATCATCTGATAATCGCGATCCCGAGGTATCGTCAACTGGAATTCCCGCAGTTTCTTTGTTTCGTTCATTGGCGAAGATAGATGACTCATCATCTCCAGTACCGGAAGTTTCATCGTTATTGTCATTATAGGACATAAATGAATCATCATTTCGAGTACCTGCAGTTTCAGCGTCATTTTCATTGATGGACACAAAAGACTCATCCAACACCGAAGTTTAGTTGTTGCTTCCGTTATCAGAGTGGAACGAAGACTCTTCATCAACTGGCATTTCATGGGTAGTACATTCTATATTTGGTATTTCAGTCTCATAGTCAGTTGATACTGGTGGATTAGACGCCCGGACGACTCCAACTACGCCAGAGTCGATCACTCTTAGTTTAGAATTAATAAGGGGTGTTATCTCAAACTGTGATTCAGCGACTCGGTCTGTGATCGATTTGTTTAAATCTTTGATATATGATATCAAGCTTGAACACGAAGCAAATGACAGTACAACAGCTTTACTGGATGGAACACATAGTCCCATGTCATTGCGACTGTGTGAATCAATACAATAAAGTACCCCTTGAGCCTTTTTTAAACCGATAGTTGAACCAGGATTACTCCCAAGTGTAATGAAAGAGGTTTCACTCTGTGATAATGATTGGTGTATTGCAGACTCTAAAGTAAATGTTAAAGCGTCAGAATTGTCCCTTTCCTGTTCCACAAGTCCATTCATCGGATCTTTCAATGTAATAGCGTAACTTTCGTTTTCAATACAAATATTCTCCGGAAACTCTGTTATTAGCATGTAGCCATCGGTAGAACAAACTTTATGGTACAAGTCAGTACCTCTTAGAAGAATATTATCTACTTCATCTCTAGTCTTTGGAATAGTATTATCCAACATGAAAGCCAATGAAATGCATGTACATTGTCGTCCACCGCCGTCTATATCACCTTGATGCATGGACCCTTTGCAAACCAGCCTAGAATGCAAGAACAAAATCGGCTAACAATTTGAATAACACGAACACGGATGATACACTTGACACATTTTTACGGAACTTCCCCATTTTTGCATTCTTGTTAAAGTTCATGTCATTGCTATACACGTAGCCAAATGACGGCCATCCGCCGTAAAAAATCAAATCCAATTACTGCCACAAAATTTGACGAAACATATATGAGGGTGGTAAAGGGTTATTTTTGTGCAACGTGATCGCCGTTTTTTAATTCACGTTCAACGTGTTCTGTTTATTTAATTTTAACGTGCATCGTGATTTTCAAATAATTATTTTTTGTGCTTGGTATTTTTCAAATAAAATTCAAAAACTTGGCAGGAATCGTCAAGAAAAACAAGGGGGATCGTTATAATTTTGTTTAAAAGCCGTAAACCATTTATATCATAAATGTGTATACTAAATCGGGAATATCAAGTAAAACAGAGAGTTTATATACTAGTATACAAGAAGAAAGTGACTCAGTCACAAGTCAAAAGTTTCACATCAAAGTCTTTATTTTTCGCGCAACGTTCATCGTGAAATTATGTCTTATTTCCCGGTTTTTTTTATGCGAGCACCCCCTTTTCGCACCCTCATATATAATGGATTTAATTTTATAAAACTAAACAACTGCATTGAACTGTGCAAATTTTATTGTATTAAAACCACAGGGTGGACGTGTTTGTGCTGTATTTAGACCCCTCTACCAAGAAATTTGTTTTGCATGCACACGTATAAAAATTGTGGTTTTCATGATCCACCTCAATCATAGGTTTGAACTTTGTTTTCAATTTAGTCTTGTACTAACTTATGATACCCCGTTCTACATATAGTCAAATCTGACCCCTTCCAAGGCAAGGCGAAAAAAACATAACCCCATTTCAGATAATTTAGCTATAAATGTAACCCCGTTTGTAGGAACATACCTGGTATCATATAAATAGTGAGTGCCCCTCCCCCTCCCATGGTAGATGTATAATGACCATTGAGGACGTGTCACACAAATCAACCATTTCATGTATAGATTTACTTACCTTTTTGGTTGTTTAAAAAAGGTGTCCAAGACACCTTGAGATAATTTAAAGGTCTTTTGACGCTTTTGTTTTGACGTCGACATCTTTGATGATTTCACTATATATCACGTCAACAACAATGGATACTAATCGCAGAGTCAAATACGGCGGAGAAACGAAATTTTACGGATCACACATCGGATGGGGGAATAAGTATAAAAAGAAATCAGTGTATGTGTTTAATTGTTGAATATGAAAAATTGCCATATTCAATACAATATTAGCAGATTACGATAGTTTTTTTTTTTTTTTTTTTTTTTTTTTTTGGAAAAGGGGGGGGGGGGCGTACGCCCATTACGCCCTAACCTGGACCCGCCCCTGGAATTTGTTTCATTTCTCCCTGATCAAAATATTTTTCTTCAATGTTGGGAATTTCCGAGTTTATTCTTAAAAAAGGGGGATTTTCCAGTGTTCAGACTATAACTCAAAACTGCTTTCAGCAGTTCTCATGAAACATTGGTGAATTGTTTATATCTAGTGATGTAAGCTGCTGCCTTTAGAATTTTATAAATTTTACATTTTACATTTCCAAGTTACGGGGTTTTATATATTAAAAAGGGGGGATTTTCCAGTTTTGGACAAAGTTTTCAGCAATTCTCATTAAACTTTGGTGAATTGTTTATATCTATTGATGTAAGCTCCCTTTTTGATTTTCATAAATTTTCTTATATGACATTTAGAAGTAATTGAACTTTATTCTTTGTAAATGTGACGCGCATATCATGCGCTCATGGCGCAGCTGTTTATTGAAGGTGGTATGAATATGGTTGCCTATAATTTCTTATTTACATCTATTTTATTTGAATTTAAGGGAATAGTTGTTATTTATATAAACAAATCCCACGTCGTTATATAACATGTACAACAATCAAACATCAACCCACGCCAAACTGGATGTAATTGAAAGACATCTAGAGGTCAATATAAAGTCTCGAACAAAAGACAAAATAAGGAAAAATATAGCGAATTTTTTAGAAGAAATATTATTACATGTATTTTCAATATTTAAAATATATCGTTTAAATTTTTTTGAGTTTTAGGTTCCACCTACCATTTTAGAAAACTGGGATTTCATTGCGGCTACCCAGCAAACACAAAAACATCTTTAAAATGTTGCGTCTAATGTCATGAAAATATCACAAAAAAACATGAGAAAAACATTAAATGTATGGTAGAATATATATCGCTAAAACGTTTTCTAATATATTTTCTAAAATATTTGCATAATATAATTAAAATGTTGTAAAGAAATATCATGATAATGTGAAAAACAATGGCGTATTAAACATTTTGATAATCTTTTAAAAAATATTTTCTAGAAATATTTTCTGAACGTTTGAAAAACATCATGAACATCAAATAATGTTATAAAAATGTTTTTTGGATGTTTTCTTGCAAGTGAGACTGTGCCTAAAAAATGTTTTCAAAATGTTTTAAGAAGATGTTTTTGGTTGATATCAAGATCATATCAATATAAAAATTTCTGTACTTTTGATTGAATAAATCAGTTGTTTTGCTAAGCATATGAAATTCACAATTCAAAGTCTCTAAAAACAAGAAGTATCTACAAATTTTGACACATCCAAAATGGCAGACACAACTCATCATGGTCAAGCCACTTACCAAATATGAAGTCATTCTGTTCATAAGCATTACTAATTAAAGTAATGAAAAATGTGAGAACATTCAACATTTTGAAATACAATGTATAAGCAAACAGGAAACAGGTGCCAGATACAAAAATGTTCACACATCACAGTTCATCACTTTCAAGCAGCTCATTAAATATGAACTCATCTTTATCAGCAGTTTTGGGAAAAACAGTGATGAAAATATTTGTCAGACAAAATCCGACAAATATAGGTGAACAGACGACAGACAGTGCAAGAAAGCCCATTATTCGAACCACAATGGTATAATGTTTAGTTTTTCACTCTCAACTTTTATTACCTATCTTATACACATCATGCATATGTCAACCTGAACATGCATGACATATATGCCATTGGACATTATGCAAACATTATACACATTTTTAAGTTCAAGTTACATTGACTAAAACTTGTGTCCCAAATTCAGATTTTTCAATACAACTTCTCTTTCTAAACTAAAACGCTACACTTCTAATAGGGTTACATCTTAAGTCAATAATCATTGATAATTGGTTAAAGAGATGAGAACAAAACACCATTTTACATCAACTATTTGATTTATTTAAGAATACATTGAAAAAGTCAATCAATTGTCTTATTCAAAATCACTTGGAATGTCTTGTAGTGTCTTATATCTTTTTCTTGCTGTGCCATGCTTCTGAAAAAAAAATTAATCTTACATTCATATATAATTTCTTGCACATTCCTTTATTATAGAACGATTCACGTTGCCTGAAGGATATACATCCCCTCCCCTTTAAAGTTTTGAAACAAATAACGATGATAGTCTGTCTGAAGGGGACGATAAATGGCTGACTGTGTTAAGAGAGAGCAATATGCCACGCTGAACTTCATTTAGTTATTAAAATCAAAGCGCTGTAAGCGCTGAGGCAGTTAACCAAAAACCAAGGCAAACGTAATTATGAAAACTATGGCAATGTTGCTTCAACATTTAACATTCATATATTGTACATTTATGTTTATCTAATGAATTAATTATTAAGGCAAATATTTTATATGTTATCAAACAGGAGGGGTGGGTGACCCCATGGACTCCCCCTATATTTCATTTGATAAGTTATATTGTCCCATACTTGAATATATATGGTTTAGGGGTGGGGATCCAAACCGTTCCAAAAGTTCCCAAACAGGAGGGGGTGGGTGACCCCAGGAACTCCCCTATATTTAATTTCATTTTAGTTATATAGTCCCATACATGAATGTATATGGTTGAGAGGTGGGGATCTCATCCGTATCAAAGTTATCAAACAGGAGGGGTAGAGTGGCCCAAAGGACGCCACCTATATATCATATGATTTGCTTACATTCAGGTATTATATAATATAGTTGCATTATTTGTGAAAATAAAGTAAGAAACTTCCAGCTACTTTAACCAGAGACATATAACCATCCAAATTTAGAAAACTATACCCCTTCAAAATTGCAGTAATATGTTTACACTTTAAAAGCATCTTACATGCATTATCAACATTTATCACTGATAAAGAAAATTTATACTGTGACCAGGAACATATATATTGTTAGATATACTGTGACCAGCTGTCACATTGTATTGGATTTTGACATTAAAATTTGTCAAAAGGTAATTTTGAGTTTCTGTATAAAATATTTTCTGCTTTTTCTTTCCTTTACATACATCTTTTGGTTTTCAATTCTAGTGTTTATATTCATTTACCATGCATAGATGTATTTTGTCACCTGCCTGGATTTTTTTTTAGTTGATTGCCAAAACCCGGAATTACCCATATCCGCTTCCAGAGTGGATCCGATATTATAATTGTCTTCACGGCATCCATTGTCATTGTGTTTACAATGTTGTATTTGTCAGTCAGATACGATTTTACTCGAATTTACACATTATTTGTCGGCGACTTTCTGTATAAAGCTAGCGGTTGAACAAAATGAACATCGCTGTCATAAATAATAATGATGAAAATAAGTTTTGAGATCGTTTATTTGGAGACTTTGGTGAAAAGGTTTGCAAAGTTATTTTTTATTTTCTTTCAAGTGGAAGGTCTGTCGGGCGTAGCTAGTAACCAAGTCGAAAGTCCTATTACAAAAGTGGAAGGTCGCGGACCTCGGACCACCGCTAGTTTAAACCCCTGCCTCCAAATTAAAAAGATACGAAAATTTCGTCTACTAATTTGAAATTGCCGCCAACAGCATGAACAGTTAAACTTATTATATAATAGACTACTGAATTAGTTGTACTACAATGTACGTATTGACGACAAACAATATTCCTACGACTTTTGCCATTTGGGAAATCTAAACTACTTGTCTTTAGAGATTTTCGGGGATTAAATATTTCATACAATTGTTCTTTGACATCTTAGCCAAAAGCACAGGCGATAATAAACTATATAAGGATTCCTAATGAGCACTACTTCCTATGTGCAACTTCAAAACTTTTGGGTGATTCGACGATCATTTAAGGTTTTTCTGGTCATATTTTTTGTAATCCAGAATTAAAAGTATTAAAAAAGTGTTCAATTAGTTATATATAACATAGTAGCCAGCTAGATAATAACAATGGCAAGTATTTTAGCATTTATTGGGTAGGACACAAATCTAGGGTGCTCGCATAATGCAGCTTAACTGCATAAAAAAACACATAAAAAACTTTAGACTAGATATGTGTCCAGTCAAGAGTCTTATTTCATTATACTCGTTGATTGTTGTCTATCATAATTATTTTCTTTTATTGTTTTGTATAAATCAGGCTGTTGTTTTTCTTGTTTTTTTTAGTTTTCATTAAATGCATTGTATATAATGTAGGGGCCTTTAAAAGCCCTGCTACATAATGTCATTAAACATCTTATTGTCCTTTTTGCATGTTTTGAGTGATAAACTCTGTAGAGTGACATAGTTTATAACTTGTCATTTATATCTAAGGGTATATGATACAGTCCTAGAAGTATACTATAGGCACATAATAACTTATTGAAGTGTTACGCATTGTTTTCGCAATGATGATAATAATATAACTTAACTTCCGAGAAACACACAGATGTCATTAAATGAGTTGTTTATATGTATTTGAAATACTTCAAAGGAAAGCAAATATGTTGTTTATGAAAGCACACTGTTGGACTAAAAGATTGATTTAAATAAACAACTTGTTTCTATTTTGTCACAAAAAAAATAATTTATTCAAATATCCAGATATCTTTTCTGTATTGTATGCCCTTAATCTTGAATGTAATGCATTGTTTATGCTAAATATTTGAATTAAATATGGAATAACAGTAATTCTGTATAAAAATCTTACTTCAAAAAAAAATTCTACTGAAAGGTTGTAGACATTCCAAAGAACCTGCGCCACTTCCAAATTGTAAACCTGCATATTGAACTTGTCCTTTGTGGCTTTTCTTTTAGCTCCTGTTAAAAAATAAAAGATACATTGTATGTACATTGTGTGTATGAAGCAATAAATATAATTTTAAGCAACAGTTTATATTATCTTGCTTGTACTGAAGTCTTACATAGTCTTTTTAATGTTCATTAAGCTGTTAAGGGAAATTTAATTTACTGTTTTGCAAATACATACATACACTGATTTTACTAGAAAAAAAAATCTCCATATTCAAATGGTGCTTATATAAGTGTTATTGTAACTTGTTTGTGTGCCTCGGAAACAAGGTATTGAATCATGCTTATTGCAATAGTTGTTGTTGGTTTAAGTCTGTCAAATTTCTTTTTCATAATGTGTATTTAATGTAGGCAGTTAGTTGTTTTGTTTCAATTGTGTTGAGAAAAATTTAACATTTGTTTTTCAAGGCTTCAAAGTGGACTATATGGCATTGGTTTTCTCAGTTTTGAAAGCCGTACAGTGACCTATAATTTCTTTTATCCAAGTCATTTAAATTCTGGTGGATAACTGTCTCATACACCTTATCGCTATTTCAGTATTTGGAAATCTGTCCCGCTTGAACTTTTTACGTCAGCATACGTCATACAATAATACACCTTATCGCTATTCCTGCTTGACCCGAGAATCTATCCTGCTTGAACTTTTGACGTCAAACAACAATCACTTTTCCATTGTGGCATCAGATATTTTTTATGATGACGTCAAAATTTTAAGGGAACTTGTGACAGTTGTGTGATGTCCAGTAATGGTGGACAAATAGCAATAAGGTGTATTACTTTCAATTGTGGTGTCAAATATTTTCTAATATGACGTCAACATTTTACGGGAACTTTTATATCCATGGCCAGTAATGGCGGACAAATAGCGATAAGGTGTATTGGCAATCAAACTGTGACAAACACACAAGCCACATATCTTTATAATTTTTTTATATCAATGAACAAATTCATAATTGGTGTACGTAGATGCTTGATGGAGCTACTTATAAGATAAATGTATAGACTATTTACAAGAATCACTCCAAACGTTTGCTTGCCTTGGGCAGGGGCCCCCCTTTTTTCAAAACCTTGATCCGCACCTCCAGAAACAGATGTAATTTGGTTCCCATTATGATTGAACACACACAATGAATGCACAAGTTTCATCTTAACAGATTAATCATTCTTACCAAGTGAGTATATATCGCGTAACAAACAATTTTCTTGGCTCTCTTTGTTGATATCCTGTCTTCGTTTCGAAATTCAAATTTCAAAATCATTTCCGGTGATAAAACAAAAGTCGATTCCGGAAAAGGTCGGTTTTCCGTAAATCATATAAACGATACGAAAATTGAACTTAGTACAGTTACAGTTTTCATTTCTTAATTTCTAAAATATACACGAACGAAATGAATAAACATTAAAGAAAGGTGATTGTTTATTAATACATTATTGCTTAATTTAATGTTGACTCTTTTGAATTTTAATATAAGAAGGAATAAAATCTGACTTCAACCGGGATCTTCAACTGAGATATCAATTAAGGATTTCAACCATAGTGTCTTGTTTGTCATGATATTGATGAAATGTAGTACTATATCTTATCCTGAAAAAAAACGAGCTAATTCCACAAAACGTTGTTTGTGGGGTTTTGAATAAAGTTTAAATAAAATGTTATTTTTATATCCGTAAAATGTTGAATAAAATATCAGTCAGATTATTAAGTAATGTGTATGTCAGAATATTTTATAGAAAACATTTAGCTGATATTTTTCAGATGTTTAATGTAAAACATTTTAATTTTACGTTATAAAACATTTTATGCAAATAGCAAAACTATATTTTCTGTAAAACATTTTTTTGCAGAATGTTTTTTGGATATTTGGAAAATATTTACTTTAAATGTTGTTAAAATATAAAATACCAATTGAAGAAAATATTATTTTTTTATATTATAAAATATCTACGGGATATTTTAGAACAATGTTTGAGAACATGAATAAAAGATATTAGCAAATAATATTTTGTTAATGTTGTAAAAACATTTTACTTAAATGTTAGAAATAAAACATTTCAAAAACAATAAAATAAACATTTTTTTTATGTTTCAATGATATCTTATTGAAATATTTTGTGAGAGACGTCCATATGACATTTAAAAAATGTTTTTAAAATGTTGTGTGTTTGCTGGGTAGTCTATTATATATATATAGAGGGGTATTTCATTGGTTGTAGATATGGAATCTTATTTTATCATAAAGTCAGATTTGAACACGACTCGAGGAATGAAGGTGGAGTAAAAGACCAAATGTCAGTTTTAGTCTTATATATGTACGTCAATTTAAGTCTTATATGTGTATACATATATTATTGATTCAGTGGTGATGGTAAATAGACACTGACAAGTCTTAGATAACATTTTATAGTTTTGAATGTTTCTTCATCAGTTAACTAAAATTAGGTGGAGGTATGTTCTTATTTCCGACAGAGGGGCACTCAACCTATATCAATTTGTGCATGAAGCGATTGATAGTTGCTAGATACTGAATGATTTTACCACAAATTTGTGAAAGTTTTAACCGGTGTATATATACTTAAAATAAGATAATAAAATTCATGTCTTTTTCAGGACTTCTGATCCAACCATGTAGTATGGCATGTTTGTGAGATATGGTTTTGGCCGATAGGATGTTCATGAAGGACCTGTAGTACAAAGTATATCACTGGATTGAGCTCTTTGTCTAAGTGTATTATTAAAGTGCTTTGCTTTGAGCTCAGTTCATTGTTATGCAATTCATTCTTTGTGAAATAAAGATTTGACAGACAACTCTCATGTACAAGGAATTGTCAAAGTAGTATCCATTCTATGTACAATGTAAGTAATAGGGAGATAAAAGCATTTTATTTAGATTTGAACCAAACATTTTTTGTCCATTAGCCAAATTTAAAAAAAAGCACAAATTTACCAAACAATGCTACTCGCGCTACTAGCAATATGATGCTAGGTTGTTTTGTTACACTTTATTTTTATACGACCGCAAAAACATTTTGCGGTCGTAAATTGGTATGACGTAGGCGTCGTCGTCGTCGTCGTCGTCGTCGTCCGGCGTCGTCGTCGTCCGAAGACACATTGGTTTTCGCACTTTAACTTTAGTTTAAGTGAATGGATCTCTATGAAATTTTACCATAAGGTTTAATACCACAAAAGGAAGGTGGGGATTGATTTTGGGGGTTATGGTACCAACAGTTAAGGAATTAGGGGCCAAAAAGGGGCCAAAAAATAAGCATTTTTGTAACTTCCAGACATAACTTGTGTGTTAGTGTATGGATCCCTCTGACATTGTACCACAAGGTTCCATATCACAAAGGGAATGCTGGGATTGATTTTGGGGGTAATTGCCTCCAAATCTTAGGAATTGGGGGCCAAAAAGGGGCAAAAAACAAGCATTTTTCTAGTTTTATGACAATAACTTGTGTGTAAGTTTATGGATCTCTCTGACATTGTACCACAAGGTTCCATATCACAAAGGGAATGCTGGGATTGATTTTGGGGGTAATTGCCTCCAAATTTTAGGAATTAGGGGCCAAAAAGGGGCAAAAACAAGCATTTTTCTAGTTTCATGACAATAACTTGTGTGTAAGTGTATGGATCTTTATGAAATGGTACTATAAGGTTCCATATCACAAAGGGAAATCTGGAATTGAGATTAAGGGTAATTGCCCAAAACGTTTAGGAATAAGGGGCCAAAAAGGTGCCAAAAATAAGCATTTTTCTAGTTTCCAGACAATAACTTGTGTTCAAGTGTATGGATCTCTCTGAAATTGTACTGCAAGGTACCATACCACAAAGGGAAGGCTAGGATTGATTTTGGGGGTAATTGCCTCAAAATTTTAGGAATTAGGGGCCATAAAGGGGCAAAAAAACAAGCATTTTTCTAGTTTCAGGACAATAACTTGTGTTCAAATGTATGGATCTCTCTGAAATTGTACTGCAAGGTACCATACCACAAAGGGAAGGTTGGGATTGAGTTTGGGGGTGATGAATCATAAGGGGGTTCAAAAAATTTGGGGGGGTTTCCTTTTTATTCTTTAAAATTTTCCATTTTAAATTGGTTATTTCTGATTTATATATAAAAGCAAATAATAATGATATGGTTTGAATAGGTTAATTAAAATTTTTTAAGTTCTTAGACCACATTCATTCCGTGTCAGAAACCTATACTGTGTCAAATATTTAATTACAATCCAAATTCAGTGCTGTATCAAGCTTAAATGTTGTGTCCATACTTGCCCCAACTGTTCAGGGTTCGACCTCTGCGGTCTTATCAAGCTGCACCCCAGCAGAGCATTTTATTATACATCTGTACTGCGCCTACTGACGAATCAGTCCTGAGTGTAAATGGTCATTCAGTATGTTAAAAAAAAGACCAAAATTTATAAGGCCTATCTGGACTAATTGATTTCTAAAACTATATTTCATTGTAAATGTTCAACATTTATTATTCATTTGTTTATTTCTTAATTTGTGTGAATTAACAGTAAATGTTAATTACTACACTTTCATACCACAACAAAACTGCCTTACTGTATTGCCAGGTATCACTTATATTTGTATCCATATAACAAAAAAAATTGAAAAGAGAATATTTTTGCAATACCTTTTTAGCTCACCGGGGCCCAAAGGGCCCCATGTGAGCTTATGCCATCACTTGGCGTCCGTCGTCGTCATAAACTATTTCAAAAATCTTCTCCTCTGAAACAACTGGGCCAAATACCTTCAAACTTTAACTAAATGTTCCTTAGGGTGTCTAGTTTATAAATTGTATCCAAAGTTTTGATCCATCGACAATCATTGCCGCCATGGCTAAAAATAGAACATAGGGGTCAAATGCAGTTTTTGGCTTATATCTCAAAAACTAAAGCTTTTAGAGCAAATGTGACATGGGGTAAAATTGTTCAATTGGTCAAGATCTAGCAGCTCTGAAATTTTCAGACGAATCGAACAACCCATTATTGGGTTGCTGCCACCGAATTGGTAGTTTTAACAAAATTTTTGCAGTTTTTTGTAATTATTTTGAATATTATTATAGATATATTTAAACTGTAAGCAGCAATAATGTTCAGCAAAGTAAGATCTACAAAAAAGTTTATTTGACCATAATTGTCAATTGACCCCTTAAGGAGTTATTGCCCTTTAAAGACAATTTTACACAATTTGTTCATCAAGTTTGCTAACATTTAAAAATATTCTCCTCTGAAACTACTCTGCCAATTACCTTCAAACTTTAACTAAATGTTCCTTAGGGTATCTTGTTTATAAATTGTATCCGAAGTTTGTATCCATCGACAAACATGGCCGCCATGGCTAAAAATAGAACATAAGGGTCAAATGCAGTTTTTGGCTTATATCTCAAAAACTAAATCTTTTAGAGCAAATGTGACATGGGGTAAAATTGTTTAATTCTTAAGCATCAGTGGCCAAGTCTTTCTAAACTAGATACTCTAAGAAGCATTCAGATAAAGTCTGGTAAATTTGGCCTTGTAATTTCAGATTTTTTTAAGTTTAGGATGGAGGATGTTAAGTGTTGGTATTAAGCTACTTTTCAGCATTTTTTGTGTATTTTGTATGAAAATGAATGTTGTTTTTTTTGTTCAACTGATACACAATACACAATCAATAGGCAATACATAATCTGTTCCTTGAACTGCTTTTTCAAATCAACATGTGACACATTAGTCCCACAACATACATGTACACATATACTGGCCTCTAAAAACACTGCAAAGGATCTCATTTGTGTAGAGAGCACAATGTAGCACAAAAGTGAATAAAAAAACCACGAAGGACCTAAACAACGTGTTTTTATCCCATATGTATGCAGTGTGCGTCTTTCGAAATATTAACTTGAATCCATTTATACAATTTCTACAAGTTCATAAGTTGTGGCTATCCCTTTTGTCTCGATCAGAAATAAAATAGTCATAAACTAAACTTAACTGAGTGATTGAAATAAAATCATGTGAAACACTCCTAATTTCAGAAACCTCTTTCCTGTTACTGGCATTGGCCGTCCAGATTTAATCTAGATTTTTAGATCTAATACCAGGTAATTGAGCAGATACACCTGCATGCAGAAAAAAAAAACAGTAAATGAAATACCAAAATTAAAAATGAACGAGTAGAGGAGTTGCGATGACAAGAACAGGACTGACTGACGAACGGACAGACAGACGGACGGACAGATGGGTCAAAAACATTATATCCTCCGCAACTTTGTTGCGTGGGGTATAAAAATCAAAATCTAACTTGACCTGTACTTTTATGGTCCATGACATTCTCAAATAAATTTCATTAACGAGACTTATAATTCATATAATATTACTATAACTTCTATAATCCCTTAAATATTTAGGCTTAAACAAAACTAACAATATATTCATGTTCCTGATAACCCAGACAGCTCATCTGGACACCAGATTTTAATGATTTTTAAAACAATATCCATGTATACAAATTGTAAGCATATATACATAAAAGATAATCATAAAAATTATAATTGATGAAATGCTTCTATGCTGTATTTCAAGTTAAATACTAAATAATGACAAAATCTCTATCATCAACAATCTCCCTGCCAGGAACAACCATGACAACCAACTAAAACGAGTGAACTTGGTCAAACTTCTTTAAAAACTGAATTTGTAGTGGGAAAATGTTGGAAACCTGAGTCCAAAACCTAATGCTCTAAAGACCGTCTCAGGAAGTATACTTTAGTTTAGTTTAGTTTAGTATGGCGTTCATTGTCACTGAACTAGTATATATATTTGTTTAGGGGCCAGCTGAAGGACGCCTCCGGGTGCGGGAATTTCGCTGCATTGAAGACCTGTTGGTGACCTTCTGCTGTTGTCTGTTCTATGGTTGGGTTGTTGTCTCTTTGACACATTCCCCATTTCCATTCTCAATTTTATTTAGACAGTATAAAAAAATGTATAATTATTAAGAACAAAACAATTGATAAAAATATAAATTATATTAAACTCAGCTAAAAGATAAAAGAAGAATGTGTCTGAGGACACAATGCCCTTGCTCAAGCTTTGCAATTTTAAAAATTGAAAAAGGAGCATAACTCTAGAAAAGTAAGTGACTCACTGCCCAAATTTGCAACTTTCCAACTGATAAAGGGGCATACCTCTTAAAATTTAGTGCAGAAACAAAAATGGGACAAAAGGAACAACAAAAGGACAGAAGGACGTCCTTTCCCTATGGCAGGGGCATAAAAAAACGAAAAATACGGAAAAGATATATATTTAACAATGGTGAAAGCCAAAATATACATTTCATTTTTTCTTTTTTTTTTAAGATTCTCCATCCTTAACTTCTGGAAGTGTTTTGACTAGACACCGACCATTATTAATATATCTAAAAGAGTAGGTCTTCAAATAAAATTGGTCCATTTCAATTCATTTTCAAAGTACCAATTAAATCTAGCCACAGGGGAAAAAAAATAATGAAGACATGATTGAATCTGAACTATGAACTCAAAACAAAACTATACATACCAAAAACCAATTCAGTATCAATATGCATGACAAAAAAATTGTCAAGAATGGACATGAGTAGAGCTACCTGAATATATCCTTTGGTTTTAATGGTAAAAAAAAGAGAGATTTTAAAATTCAAAATAAGTTATCTATAACTTACAATCTTGTTGAAAATGGAGAATCTTTACACTATTTGTTTTTTTGTAAAAAATTATAAACATTTTCTCAAACATACACAAAAATTGGCTAAATTACATTCTTTACTGGTACAGTCACCCAATCATTTTCATGCAGCCACAGTTAAAGTAACCTGAAAAAGAAATATTCATTCTTAAACATATCTGTCAAAACTATGTGAAAATAATTGAAACAATATTTAATGCAAAAGAATAATTACCTGGGCATTACAATTATGATGCATATAACATTTCTTTACCTAGCTTTAAAGTGCCTTGTGGACATAACTTTTAGACTACCAGTCTTTGTTGGCAAAAAAAGATGAAAAACAAGTCGTTGTTTGTTGTCTATCATATTTGTTTTGTTTATTGTTTTATCCTATATCAAGTCCAAGGATCCGGAAATTTTTCCAGACAATTTCGGTCATTTTGAGATGTTTGAAAAGTTGGTGCCCCTTTTCAAATTGCCGATATCAACTTGACTATATTCATAGCATCAACGAACATGACGAACTTGTATTGCTGTTTCATCTCATTTACTAAGTAAATGTCTTACCATTACCATGAAGGACAGTTTAGGGAAGGCAACAGTCTAAAATTGAAATGATTTTAATGACTCAAAATGGTTAATTTCTCAGACATTGCTAACGTTTCTTTCAATTTGACAAAAGTTAAAACCAGAAGTTTGCGATATTTTAAAGTACGAATAATTCCGGATTCATTTCCGGGATTTGTTTTGTTTATCAAATTAACAGGAAATCACCGGCTTTTTTATTTTCTTACCTTTAAAGGTGTTTGAATATAACAGATAATAGTTGCACTCGTTTAATTTAGCATGAAATCAATTTGCATTTTACGATTAAATATTAAATTTGCTGAAGACAATTTCACGCATGCATATTCCATAGTAAATAAAGCACATGTGTTACTCATGAAAAAATACTTTTTTCTACGTAAATTTAGATTTAATTTTTAAATCAGAATTGATGACTGTCTTTGATGAAAAGTAAATAAATAATGAATACACATGTCAGGGAACTTTAATGTTTTAAAGATATTATTCTGAGCTTGTGATCACTGTCAGGTGTGAATTAAAACCACAGGTAAAATGTGATTAGTGATCATTAGCCAATGTTTCCCGGAGGCATTGGTATAGATATTAGGAGGGCCCTCAGGATTATCAAACTATCTAGTGGCAGTTTTATTACAGGAAAGGGATAATAAACAAAAACAAGTGATCACAAGTGCAAAATGGCGATTACGAAATCCGATTTCAAACATTGAGTCAATGAAATGACCCAAATTACTTCTGTAAAAAAATAAAATTTGTCCTAAATCCCAATTACTCGTTTAGGACAAATAGTTTCATCTTAGGACATGACTGGCAAATATGATCGTTTCCGGACCCTTGATCAAGTCATTGGTTTTTCTCATATGAATTATTTCACATTTTGTCATGTTGGGGCCTTATATAGCTTACAATACAGAATAGGTTTTGCTCATTGTTGAAGACCATAAAATGGCATTCTATAGTTGCTAACAGCCTTGTCGTGTGGTTATTGGTTGATTAATATCTCGTTGGCAATCATACTACATTTCTTAATTTCTATATAGTGGGATTAATTTAGATAAAAAAAAAAACAGAGAGAAGATATCCAAAATTCAAATCTTTGACTTCCTTTACTTGTATCTTGATACCCCCTTCCGAATTATACATACACTTATAACATGAATAAACTGTTATCACAGAGATATGTCTCAATTTTTTGTAATTTTGATTATGCAAATGTTGAAATTAAAATGGCAATACTTAACAAGTTAGGCTAATATTCAAAGTCAATGAACCATGACTGAGGTACATGGCTAAACCATCTTCATGTAAATGAGATGCGCCAATGCTAATACAACTGCACACCAAATATCATTGACTTATTATAAGTTGTTCCCTTTAAACAAACCTAAACACAATCATTAACTTGTAAACTATATAAAAGTTTCAAAGTCAATGAACCATGAAGAGCGGGTGGAGCTATATAATCTCCATGGAAACGATACTTATAAATGCCAATAAATTTGCATACCAAATATCATTAACTTAACATTATCTTAAACTGATCTTACCACAAACTAATATATGTAAACTAAGCAAGTTTCAAAGTCAATAGGCCATGACTGAGGAGATGGGGCCAAATATTCTCCATTGAAATGAGATGTGCTAATGCTTATACAACTGAATACCAATTAACATTTGCCTACCACTAATGGTTCCTCTTGAACTGACCTAATCACAAACTAATACATGTTAACTAAGCAAAATTTTCAAAGTCAATAGACCATGACTGAGGGGGCTGAGCCAAATAATCTACATGGAAATGAGATGTGCCAATGCTTATACAACTGCATACCAAATATCATTGACCTACCCAGGGACTTTCTATACTAACGGGACTGGTCACTTATAACGATGTCTATACAAATTATCAGACTGATCTCGGCCGTAGCTGATGTCACGTGACTTTATAGCAAATCATTTCCCATTTACAGAGTGTTCTTCATAACTATATGTTCAAGTTTAACAAAAACTCGTTTTTATGAAATTTTATACATTTTGTCATTGCAAAATGTTGTTTTTCAAAAGATTTCTCGGATCGTTTTTTAAATATTGATCTTTGAACTTTGAGGTATTTGTTCGTTGAATTTTCAGTAGCCGCCATCTTGTTTGATATGGTAAACCATTTTACACACGTGGGATGTTCTTTAAAACGATACGTCCAAGTTTAATAATTCATCATTCTTTCAAAATCTTATATTTTTTGTCATCGTAAATGGCTATTAGTCAGATTTTATATTAACAACTAATAATAATTATATAATTACAATGAACTGTGAAATACACAAATAACTACTAGCATCGTATATCAGAGATACGAAACTAAGTTGATTGTTGGGTGGTAGCTTTAAACAGGCGGCTTAGTAATCAGTTAAAATCAATCGAGACGAGTCCCGTTAGTATAGAAAGTCCCTGACCTACCGCTAACAGTTCCTCATAAAATGACCTAATCACAAACTAATACATGTAAAATAAGCAAAAGTTTCAAAGTCAATAGACCATGACTGAGGGGGCAGGGCCAAATAATCTCCATGGAATTGAGATGTGCCAATGCTAATACAACTGTATACCAAATATGATTGACCTACAACTTGTGGTTCACCACAAACTAGACCTAATCACAAACTAATACATTGTTGACACTGCCGCCGCCCCCGGAAACAGCATACCTAAGTCTCGCTTTTTGACTCTGTCAAGCGAGACAAAAATCTAGTGACATGCTCTAAGTTGAATAGTTCATAAATCTATGTACTAATTCTCTTACCAAAAAAGTCAACTCCAATGGCCATTCCCAACCTCAATCCTTACGGACAAGCTGTGATGTTAACCTGAAATATAAAATGCTTCATCATCAAAAATTGTTTAAACTGATCATTGTTGGTATACTTATATATATTTAATATAAACAATGGTAGTCTATAAATGTGTAATAGATGTTGAGAACATGTGTATAAATTGTGTAATTATAAATCGTCTAAAGCTATCCAGCAACCCAGCAAACTTTTTATGTAATTACATCAGATCCTAAGATTTACTTATATAATGGTAGCTGATAAACGAAAGAGTAGACTTCTGACCAACTCCTAAAAGCCTAGAGAATTTTCCAAAGAAATTTTATAATACATTTGTTTTTTTTTTTCTCTTCAAAACTGGAATAACATTCTGGTACTTACCTTCCTTTTAGATGTATTAGACCCCAAAGTTTTATAATCCAACACCATGAAAATCATGTCACAGAAAGGTTACCTAAAAAGGAATTAAAATGGATACATTATTATATATTTTATAAATCCATTTCTGTCAACATAAACATTTACTAAATATTGTTTTGATTTCTTACTACATGTTCACAATAGTATAACATCAACACCTAAGTTTGTAAAATTAATATATAAAGATGGAAAACTAAAAGGAAGTCAAAGAATAATGATTTGAATATCAACTGCATTAAAATCTGCATATTTTACAGAGTTATCTCCCATTGAATTAACAAATCTTGGAAGCTCTATTCCAATCTCAGGATTTACTCTTGCTTTTTTTTTTAGAAAATCTTGTTAATATACTTGGTACAACTTGTTTCTTTAAATATTAAACTGGTAAAATAATTCTCGGTCGGGTAGATGTTTTCACAATTTTTAGTTTTCAGTTTTCTAACTTGGAAAATATGTTCTCACCATTCACAATTGGCTACTGTGAGAAAAACATTTATAATGTCTAATACAGTTATCTTTTAATTTTTTTTGTTTTAATTATCCTGATAAGAATTCAACTGGCCAATGTACATGTAATGGTGTATAATATCATACCATTAGTATTTGCAAAACTTTCTTAAAATGGTGTTGATACTTTATAAAGGTATTTAAGTTGATTTCTTCTGTTTGTTTTATCCCATTAAAATCAATAGTCAATACCATATTATATTTCTTTAAAACAAACAATTACACACATAGGACATATAAAGACCATCAGAAATAATAAATACAGTATTGTAACCTATATATCTCCGTAAGAACTCTGTAATGGAAACAATTAATAAAGATTAGTGATGTTTGAAAAATTGTTGTCACTTCTATCAAAGCAGGCTCTCTTAAAAGCTTACAGTAGATTTAGCTTCATCTGTGATAAAAATAAAATATATAAGGTATTATAGAGTATAGAGTTACGGAAATCTATATGCCACTCTTCCTGGTCTGTTAGCCATATTCAAGGTCGACAACTGAAACATCCTCTCTAAGCTGAATCTGCAAAAATCCAAAATTACAAATTAAACATCTGTGAGTGAACTCTGAAATGAATTAAAGAACCTTAGTGAGGGCGCTCACATACCCCACGTCCTCACATTGTCATTGGAGAAATAAAATATGTGTAAGAAAAAAAAATTGAATCATAATTTCCTGTCAATATGCACATCTACATAGTATGTCCTTATTATCTACAAAGTTTCATGAAATTATGTTGTGTGGTTTCAGAGGAGTTGCGATGAAAAACTGTTGCAGAAGACATTGAAGCAAATAAGTTCAAAGGGGCGTAACTCCTAGAAAAAATATTGAATCATAATTTCCTGTCGATATGCACATCTACATTATAGTATGACCTTATTATCTACAAAGTTTCATGAAATTCTGTTGTGTGGTTTCAGAGGAGTTGTGATGACAAACTGTTGCAGTAGTACATTGAAGCAAATGAGTTCAAAGGGGTGTAACTCCTAGAAAAAAAATTGAACCGTAATTTCCTGTCGATATGCACATCTACATAATATGTCCTTATTATCTAAAACGGTTTCATGAAATTCTGTTGTGTGGTATCAGAGGAGTTGTGATGACAAACTGTTGCAGTAGTACATTAAAGTAAATAAGTTCAAAGGGGCGTAACTCCTAGAAAAAAAATTGAACCGTAATTTCCTGTCGATATGCACATCTACATAGTATGTCCTTATTATCTAAAAAGGTTTCATGAAATTCTGTTGTGTGGTATCAGAGGAGTTGCGATGACAAACTGTTGCATAGTACATTGAAGCAAATAAGTTCAAAGGGGCGTAACTCCTAGAAAAAAAATTGAACCGTAATTTCCTGTCGATATGCACATCTACATAGTATGTCCTTATTATCTAAAAAGGTTTCATGAAATTCTGTTGTGTGGTATCAGAGGAGTTGCGATGACAAACTGTTGCAGTAGTACATTAAAGTAAATAAGTTCAAAGGGGCGTAACTCCTAGAAAAAAAATTGAATCGCAATTTCCTGTCGATATGCACAACTACATAGTATGTCCTTATTATCTAAAAAGGTTTCGTGAAATTCTGTTGTGTGGTTTGAGAGGAGTTGCGATGACAAGAAACAGGACTGACGGACTGACAGACTGACAGACGGACGGACGGACGGGTCAAAAACATTATACCCTCCGCAACTCGTTGTGTGGGGTATAAATATAAATACACTAGTCAACAAAAGTAACGATACACAAGTTTGAACTCTAATTTATCATAAAATATAATAAAATAGGAAAAACTGTTATATTATCTAATGAAAAACATTCATTTGCAAAGCAAATGCATATGATTAAAAGAATGTGACCAAAATGGAAAGTGAGAAACTACCGTGTTATATAAAACAGGGGTCAAATTTATTTTGCGGAACATAGATTTTATTACAAATTTATTTTATTGAACATAGATGTTCCTCAAATAGTCAAAAAATATCAAAGAATCTTATAGGCTACAGTTCCGCAGCTACCTTACCATCAGTTCTTTGAAGAAACCTATATAAAAAATAAATATATATACAACAATATACATGAAAATATATAAAATGAAATAAATCAACCAATCTTACTATAAGTGCAGAACCATAGCTCTTAATTAGGTCCTTATGATATATTATAAAGACCTAAGAGCTATGGTTCTGCAGCTACCTTACCATCAATTCTGTGAAGAAACCTATATAAAAAATAAATATATATACAACAATATACATGAAAATATATAAAATGAAATAAATCAACCAATCTTACTATTAGGTGCAGAACCATAGCTCTTAATTAGGTCCTTATGATATATTATAAAGACCTAAGCGTTATGGTTCTGCAGCTACCTTACCATCAATTCTTTGAAGAAACCTATATAAAAATAAATAAATATACAACAATATACATGAAAATAAATAAAATGAAATAAATCTACCAATCTTATTATTAGGTGCGAAACCATAGCTCTTAATTAGGTCCTTATGATATATTATAAAGACCTAAGAGCTACGGTTCCACAGCTGCTTTACCATCAATTCTTTGAAGAAACCTATATAAAAAATAAATATATATACAACAATATACATGAAAATATATAAAATGAAATAAATCAACCAATCTTACTATTAGGTGCGGAACCATAGCTCTTAATTAGGTCCTTATAATATATTATAAAGACCTAAGAGCTATGGTTCTGCAGCTACCTTACCATCAATTCTGTGAAGAAACCTATATAAAAAATAAATATATATACAACAATATACATGAAAATATATAAAATGAAATAAATCAACCAATCTTACTATTAGGTGCGGAACCATAGCTCTTAATAAGGTCCTTATGATATATTATAAAGACCTAAGAGCTAAAGTTCCGCAGCTTCCTTACCATCAATTCTATGAAAAAACCTATATAAAAGATAAATATATATACAACCATATATACATGAAAATATATAAAATGAAATAAATCAACCAATCTTACTATTAGGTGCGGAACCATAGCTCTAAATTAGGTCCTTATGATATATTATAAAGACCTAAGAGCTACTGTTCCGCAGCTTCCTTACCATCAATTCTATGAAAAAACCTATACAAAAAATAAATATATATACAACCATATATACATGAAAATATATAAAATGAAATAAATCAACCAATCTTACTATTAGGTGCGGAACCATAGCTCTTAATTAGTTCCTTATGATAAATTATAAAGACCTAAGAGCTACGGTTCAGCTGCTACCTTACCATCAATTCTTTAAAGAAACCTATATAAAAATAAATAAATATACAACAATATACATGAAAATAAATAAAATGAAATAAATCTACTAATCTTACTTTTAGGTGCGGAACCATAGCTCTTAATTAAGTCGTTATGATATTTTATAAAGACCTAAGGTTCCGCAGCTACCTTACCATCAATTCTTTGAAGAAACCTATATAAAAATAAATAAATATACAACAATATACATGAAAATAAATAAAATGAAATAAATCTACCAATCTTACTATTAGGTGCAGAACCATAGCTCTTAATTAGGTCCTTATGATATATTATAAAGACCTAAGAGCTAAGGTTCCGCAGCTACCTTACCATCAATTCTTTGAAGAAACCTATATAAAAAATAAATATATATACAACAATATACATGAAAATATATAAAATGAAATAAATCAACCAATCTTACTATATGGTGCGGAACCATAGCTCTTAATTAGGTCCTTATGATATATTATAAAGACCTAAGAGCTATGGTTCCGCAGTTACCTTACCATCAATTCTTTGAAGAAACCTATTTAAAAAATAAATATATATACAACAATATACATGAAAATATATTAAATGAAATAGATCAACCAACCATACTATTTATAGCTGTGGAACCATAGCTCTTTGGTCCTTATATTTATTGAACATAGATGGTCCTCAAATAGTCAAAAAATATCACAAGGACCTAAGAGCTACGGTTCCGCAGCTACCTCACCATTAATTCTTTGAAGAAACCTATATGAAAAATAAATATATATACAACAATATACATGAAAATATACAAAATGAAATAAATCAACCAATCTTACTATAAGTTGCAGAACCATAGCTCTCAATTAGGTCCTTATGATATATTATAAAGACCTAAGAGCTATGGTTCCGCAGCTACCTTACCATCAATTCCTTCAAGAAACCTATATCAAAAATAAATATATATACAACAATTTACATGAAAATATATAAAATGAAATAAATCAACTAATCTTACTATTAGGTGCGGAACCGTAGCTCTTAATTAGGTCCTTATGATATATTATAAAGACCTAAGAGCTACGGTTCCGCAGCTACCTTACCATCAATTCTTAGAAGAAACCTATATAAAAAATAAATATATATACAACCATATACACATGAAAATATATAAAGTGAAATAAATCAACCAATCTTAATATTAGGTATAGATCCATAGCTCTTAATTAGGTCCTTATGATATATTATAAAGACCTAAGAGCTACGGTTCTACAGTACCTTACCATCAATTCTATGAAAAAACCTATACAAAAAATAAATATATATACAACCATATATACATGAAAATATATAAAATGAAATAAATCAACCAATCTTACTATTAGGTGCGGAACCATAGCTCTTAATTAGTTCCTTATGATAAATTATAAAGACCTAAGAGCTACGGTTCAGCTGCTACCTTACCATCAATTCTTTAAAGAAACCTATATAAAAATAAATAAATATACAACAATATACATGAAAATAAATAAAATGAAATAAATCTACTAATCTTACTTTTAGGTGCGGAACCATAGCTCTTAATTAAGTCCTTATGATATTTTATAAAGACCTAAGGTTCCGCAGCTACCTTACCATCAATTCTTTGAAGAAACCTATATAAGAATAAATAAATATACAACAATATACATGAAAATAAATAAAATGAAATAAATCTACCAATCTTACTATTAGGTGCAGAACCATAGCTCTTAATTAGGTCCTTATGATATATTATAAAGACCTAAGAGCTAAGGTTCCGCAGCTACCTTACCATCAATTCTTTGAAGAAACCTATATAAAAAATAAATATATATACAACAATATACATGAAAATATATAAAATGAAATAAATCAACCAATCTTACTATATGGTGCGGAACCATAGCTCTTAATTAGGTCCTTATGATATATTATAAAGACCTAAGAGCTATGGTTCCGCAGTTACCTTACCATCAATTCTTTGAAGAAACCTATTTAAAAAATAAATATATATACAACAATATACATGAAAATATATTAAATGAAATAGATCAACCAACCATACTATTTATAGCTGTGGAACCATAGCTCTTTGGTCCTTATATTTATTGAACATAGATGGTCCTCAAATAGTCAAAAAATATCACAAGGACCTAAGAGCTACAGTTCCGCAGCTACCTCACCATCAATTCTTTGAAGAAACCTATATGAAAAATAAATATATATACAACCATA